TGAATGTCACAGAGTGGACTTGCACAAACCTAGATGGTACAGCCTGCTACACACCTAGGCTGTGTGGTACTCATCTTAGGGCACCACCATTGTATATGCGGTCCCTCATTGACTGAAACGTCATGATGTGGCCCATGAGTGTATATGGCATATGGGATTCCTCAGAGGGGCAGTTGGACCCATGACAAGGTAATAAAGATAATTCAATGAGTGTGAGATAAATGAACGTCTCAGAGGCAGTTCTCTGTCGGGGTCTGGCTCTCCCGGGTACGTGCATGAACACAGTAGGGCTCAGAAGATGTTGGTTAGGTGTGAGAGGGGACTTGAACCTCGGCCTGGGCTGATGGAGCATGTTGCACCTCGACGCTGGCCCAGGCCACGTCGTGTGCTGGGGACACCTAGAGTTTCCCGAAAGCCCCCTCAGTGTCCCCTCCCCCCAGGATAGCAGCGGGACAGTCTGGCCTCCACTGGCTTTCCCTGGGTGGTTGTCAGCCCTCCCAGTCTGAACGCAGCCTGTGTTCTTTGGATCATTGTCCGCGACCTTGTCTTTCCACCCGCTGAGTTCTTTTCCATCCCAAATCTGGCTGGGTGTCCTAGGGATTGTTTTTGCAGGCTCCTCGCAGGGGGAAGTGACATCATGTGGTGTCCGCAGCCCGAGGGGTGGGGGCGGGGACTCTGTGGTTGCGTGTGCTTTGAATTAAAGTCCACGGTTGTGCATTCCAGTAGCCAACATCTGGCGGTGAATGCATCAGCCAGTGTATCACCCTTGATCTCAAACCCAGATGTTGTGTTAACGGCAGAAGGGAAAGAAGGAAAAACAATCTGAGCAGCCTGGGGAGAGGCCATCACTTTTGGGCGCAAAGCAGTTAGAACAAGAATCTTTATAACGACTCTCCCTCCTGCCTCTGCCTCTGGCTCCTGCTGCTAGGGGCAGGGTGGTGGAGCAGAGTGGCCCGCTCCTGGCGGGGATGGAACAGGACTGGGCTGAGGCCCCACCCCAGGGCCAAACAGCAGGCCCAGCACAGAGTAGGTGTTCAATAAACGTGTGCGTACCGGGATTTTAGTTTCTTCCCAGATTCTTTGGGTCTCTTTGCTTTTCCCCAGCCCTCTTGTTTCACTGGCTGGCGACTCAGAGAGGGCCACCCCTCCCTTGGAGTGGCCTCCATTCTGCAGCTCAGGGTGATGCCCATCGCCTTGGGTGCAGGAAGCGCGTTCCTGGAGAGCTCTCCCTGCCTCCTCCCTCCCCACCACTGGCAGCTGGAAACAGTGTGCTTCCGTTTTCCTGTCCCTCCTGTGTCTTTGAGCCCAGGTTGGATGCTTCTTGAGAGCAAGGGCTGCGGCTGAAGATGCTTGCACACTTGACTCCTCTCTCCCTTTGGGCAACAGGAGGGGGATCCGTGCTTTTGGGGTTTGCACTTGAAAGGCAGCCCAACCCCGAGCTCCGAGTTTGGCGTGTAAGACAGTCCCCACTCTGGCCAGGTGCCGGGGCAGAAGGCTGAGGGTCTGAACATCTGCCTCCAGAGCTGGCTGGATCTGCTGTGATGCCGCCCCAGCCCGCCCTCTTGTGCAGCCCATCGTCCTGTTTCCCCCCAGGTCTCCTGCCTTCGGCTTGCCTGTGGGATCCTCTCGCGGTGATGAGTTAATTTGCCAAAGCTTTGCGCACGCCCTCCTCCCGCAGAGTGCTGAGCCCAGGCGGTGACTGCCGCCCTGAGTGGGTCAGCGGTGTCGGTCCTCACATCTGAGTGGGCAGGTGTGTGCCCAGCATTTCTCCTTCATGCCCAGAGGGTGTTGATGTTTTGGGGAAGGTTTTCATAGACCTGGTGCTTCCCTGCCTCTCTTGATTCCCACTTTCTTTCCTTCCCATTATCTCTCATTTTGTAAAGTGGGGAAGAGCTTCCCTCCAGAATTCAGAGAGACCCCAAAGAATCTGAGTTCTTGTCCTGCATGGACGAGCCCAGTTGGAGATCCTCCCGGCCTCCTGGCCCCCTGGCCCCACTTCCCTGCAAGCCACTGGCGGCCTTGGTGCCAGTTACTGTTCTGATCTGAACCCCACAAGTCCAGCCTGGACCCTGGATTCAACCAGTGTCTTCTTTCCGGACAGTTTTAAAAAGGACAGCGTGTGGTCTGTAGTCCCAGAGCAAAGCAGACGCATCGGGAAGCTGCCGCAGACCCAGGTTCTAGGGTCCACGCTGACCAGGACGGGAGCTGTGGACCGAGCAGTGACGGGGTGCAGCGCTCCAGCCCCATCCCTCGGGGCTGGGCAAGTTTGCGCCGTGCTTCTCCGCGGCTGCCTTTCATCTGTCGGCCTGAACTAGACCTGGTGCATCAGGTGCCAGGCGCTGCATGTCGCATACGCCCCGGCTGTTAGTCCTTCCCACACCTGACAGTGTGCAGGTGCCGCTGGCGTATCTCCATTTTGAACGGGAGTGGCTGTGTCTCACCGAGGCCGGGGGACTTCCTGAGACCACAGTGGGTAGGGGGCTAAAGCAGGATGTAGCCCCCGGTCTGCCCCTTTCAAATGAGAACTCAGATGGCCTGGGAGCCTTAGGTGCTTTTGTAAGAGAAAAATGAGTGGACCTTAATGCGTGGAATGCAATGGAAGCTTCTGGAATCCTGTTTGGGAGTAGTTTCTGCTTATTTTCTGATGGCCAGTGGCGTGTTTATGGAGCGCCTGTTGTGCATTAAGCATTGTGCAGAGTCGTGGACCTCTGAAAAGCAGGTCCAGAAAGCATGCAGAATTGAGTGTGCCGTGGTAAAACCCAGCAGCGTTCCTCCTTCTAGAACTGTTGTCTGCTGTAGATGTTCCTGGTCCGTTCCATATCATGAGCTGAGGTCGATACTGCAGAAGAGCAGGCTTATGACAGGCTGATCTGGCATGTTTACTGCCTGGCGTAAACACCTCTGTGCAGCATTGCAATCAGGTGTAGATTAGGCAGGTAGTAAAGGGACCAAGTCAGTCCTCGTGTGGTGACCAGCCCAGGTGTCTCAGGTGCAGCCCAGTTCCATCTGGCAAACACTTAGCACCGACTGTCCTGTGGTTAGAATGTAGCCTCTGCCTGTTCGAGGCTCCCAGGGCCGTGCGCAAACAGGTGTCCAGGCATTTACGGCAGAATGGACGAGAGATGCAGAGTGTACCAAGCGCTATAGGAGGACAAGATTTCCCAGAGCAAGACGGGAAATGGTTATTTTAGCTGGGTCTTGAAGAATGAATAAAAGGTCTCCAGGCAGGGAGGAGAAGATGGCATTCGGGGCAGAAGGAACTTGCCTGTCTAGAGGTGGGGGCACTCCTGGCAGGTTCAGGTTCAGGGCAGGATCATGGACTGGCAGAACAGCAGAGCAGGGGCGGCTGAGGCAGCTGGAATAGCCACTGGCCGGCACCAGGTTGCAAAGGGTCTCCTCTTTTAGACGAGGGTAGCGGGCGGCCAAGGAGAATGTTTGAGCTAGAAGATGTGTGACTATAAGAAGACAGCTCGTGCTGGGGGGAAGATGGGTAACGGGTGGGAGGAGACACTGGAAACAGGTTGACCTGCTACCGAAGGTAAGGCCCTTTGTTCTGGGGTGGCCCAGCGGGTGGCATTTCCTAGATGTGGCTTTGCAGGTTGGGGCCTGGCTTAGCCTGGGAAACAGGAACCTGTGGCTTTGGCCAGTCATGACTCAGCTCCAACAGAAGGAGAAATAAGAAAGCTGTTTGGGCCTGGGTGGGGCGGTGGGGCTGTGGTGTGGGGCTCTGGTGCCAGGCTGGGATTCAGAGACATTCCTGGGGTCCAGGGGGATGGGCACCCATGGGAGATCCACATGCCTGGGCCTCCCTACTCTGTGGGAGAAGACAGCCCTGGCCAGGGCTCTCTAAGATTTGAGCTGTCCCTCGGTGTGGAGGTGGGAGCTCCTGTGGGCCTGGCGCTGTCTGCTCCTTTTTTCTCCATTTTGCTCCTGTTCACACTAACATGATGCTCACCCAGAGTGACCCTGCACAGCTGAGTTTGGGAGGGCAAAGCTTTTAAAGCCATTAAAAGAGGCCATGCCACCAGCTGATGAGTCTCAAAATGGCAAAAGGGAGGGCTGTGCCCGAGTGATGACGTGAACTGCTGATCTGTGCCTCGGGCAGGTCACGGGCTGGAGCCGAGTCCTGCTTAATTGCTAGTAGGGAGCCCTGTGGTGCATGGCCCTCGAGCAGCCTCGGGCTCCAGAGAACATTCTGGAACCTTCTCAGTGCGACCTCTTCCCCTCTCCTTCATCTTGCATCACCATCTGGGCTTGTCTTCCTTTCTGTTCGCCCTCCTCCCTCGGCATCTGTCCCTGAGGTTGGCCGCCCATGCCCTGGGGCGGTTCCTCACCCAATTTGCCACGCTTTCGGTTAAAGCACTGTGACCTTCCCCCTTGCACCCCCGAGAGAATGTGTGTTATTGCACTGAATCATCCACAGGACGTTGTCCAGGCACGCTTTTAGGACAGATTAGGAGGGCGTCAGGGTCAACCTTTTAGATCTAAGAGCCCCAAACCTAAATATGATGGGGCCTCTTTAAGGCGGGTAACTACCCTCTGCCTTCAGCCTGAAAGCCTGTTTGCCAGCAGGCCCTGGATGGAGGGCAGTGCTGGGCATCTCCCCATCCTCAGCCCCACGGTCAGGACGGCAGGCCGGTCCCGGTTCACTCCTCTGCTTCCCCAGCCACCAGTACGTACACACTGGAGCCGGGGGGGAAAGCCCCAAAGCAGTGCAGCTTGACACCAGCAGAGAGCTCTGTTCAAATCAGTGACTCCTCTGAAGCCCCGCATCCTGAGGGACTAGAGCACCTGCTCTGGGCCCGTCCGCAGAGGATTCCTGGGGAAGAATCCTGGAACTTGGAGGCGTCTCAGAGCTTTACTTCCTGGTCATCCCCTTCGGCCTGTGTGGGCTCTGTTGCCGCCGTGTGGGGGGCTGGATCGTGTTGCCCCTCGCCCCCTCCTCGGAGCCAGGACGGTCTCGCGGGGACGCTGCTCACCTCTGTGTGTTTGTTTTGCAGTGATCAGGGCCAAAGCGGTCAGTGAGAAGGAGGTGGACTCTGGGAACGACATCTACGGCAACCCCATCAAGCGGATTCAGTATGAGATCAAGCAGATAAAGGTAACAGTGGCTGTTGCTGGGCGGCTCCGTGGGGCAGAGCTGTGGGAGGGTTGGGAGCGGGGCTGGGTCCTCCAGAAGACAGACACCATGCGAAAGCATCCCGCTGTCTTGAGGTGCTGCTGGGTCCCTGGACGGGGGCCAGCCGTCCGTGGAGCAGACAGTAAGGGCGTCCCACCACAGGTCGATCCGATTTTCCTTAATGCATCCATGCCTGAAAAGTGGTGTGGGCAGGGTGTGTTCGCGTCAGCTAAGTTATTTCAGAAATGTGTTATCTTCCTTTCCGTGGGTAATGAACTGGTGGCATGGCCTCAGCGTTGTTACCAAGTTCCTCATAGCTTCTGTGGAATGTTCCATGAGCACCTGTCGGTGGCTGAGCTGTTGTGGGGTTCAAAGGCAGCAAGAACTTGGCCGTTGCCTCTGGGAGCCCTAATTCCCCCAAACTGTGGTGTGGGGTCTGCTCTTGACTGATTAGCTTTAAATTCTAAGAGGAAGAGGGATTTGGAGAAAGGAGGCTTTCTGTGGAGAGGCCTGGTGGGGGGCCACTTTCTGAAAGAGGGGAGCCAGGGAAGAGATGGAGATGGCAGGCAGCCTGGCCAGTGACGAGAAGGTGACTCGCCAGGTGGGAGAGTGACGGGCGGGCATCGGGGGCTGCAGACCGAGGGGGAGGTGGTGGAGTGTTCATCTGTTCAGAACGGTATTCATGTTAGGGGCGTGTGGTAAGGGGCCCACGTCTGAAAGGGACACGGAGGGAGCAAGGACATGGGGGAGGGAGGAAGGACAGGGCCAGCGTTGGCAGAAAGTTGTTGTTGACAATAACTAACTTGGTCTACAAGATAGAAGAAGATTCTAGGCTCCAGCTGGAGAGACAGCTGTGTCACATGGAAGTGTTGTAGCGGTCTGTATTTAATTTTGTTACAAAAATAAAAAGTAGTAGAAGATAAATGTTATCAGAAGGTCAGTGAAATGCCTGTTCATGGCCTCTGTGTCATTTAAGGGGCTGACCCAGTCTCCCTGTGCCGAAGTCTCTGTTTTTGAAGTGGGACAGAGAACCTCTCCGTTCTCACGACCTCATTAAGGGGTCAGGAAAAGGCAGGTGTTAACACCAAGGAAGCCTTTTAGCCCTTTGGTGAAAGAAGTCATTTAACCCAGCATGTTGTCACCATCAGCGTAAGCTTTCTTGGTGTGGGTGGGAGTGTAGCTCTTAGGAAGCTGGTTCATCATGACATTGTGGATGACGCTGTTCCATTTGGGTTTGTTTACTGGAACTCCAAAAAATCCCCACAATGCCGTTAATCTTGGTTTAACCATGGCAGGAGTCCTGTAGGGCTGGTGTGGAATGGCAGGGCCCAAGGGTGTCTACATTCGCACCCCCTGCTTGGCCTTCTTTGTCCTGTAGTCCTGGAGCATTTGGGGTTTCCCCTTTCCAGTCTCCACTGCCCCCAAAACCAGGGTGGAGGGCCGTGCTCAGTCCATATTCATCTCCCGTCGTGGGGCAGCAGCGACTCTGAGGCTTTCTCACTTCCTGCCAGGGCACTGGAACAACTCATCCATTCACCTGGGCAGCAGGTGTGTTCCCAAAAGGCTGTAAGGAAATGAGAAGTTGAGAAGGCAGATCCCCTAATTGCAGGCGTGCCTCTGCCCTGGTCCCTGTCAAGTAGCCAATGCTTGATTGAAATTCCTGGAAATAAACAAAGGTGCTGGTCCTCAGCGATGGGTCAGAATCACCTGAGATGTACAAGTCCCTCCCCGGAGATTCTGAAATGACTCCTTGGTGGTAGGAAGAGCAGATGTTGTCTGAGACAGTTCACGCCAGGGGACAGTGCTGTGTCCAGCCTGCTGACCGCCTCCACGCTGAGCCATGAGTGACTCCAGAGAATGGCTTTGCAGTGGGAACGGTCATCTCCTCATCTGTCTCACTGGTACATTTCTGTCCCCCTGTTCCGTGCTGGCCATGCCACAGTGCAGGTCGGGCCGTCCCGGGGTGTTCTGAGTGGGAACGGAGTCTGTGGCATGCAGCCCATCTCCGCTTACGTTTCCTCGTCCTCATCTTTCCAGATGTTCAAAGGACCTGACAAGGACATCGAGTTCATCTACACGGCTCCCTCCTCGGCCGTGTGCGGGGTCTCGCTGGACGTTGGAGGGAAGAAGGAGTACCTCATCGCAGGTGTGTCCGTGGGCGTGGCTGTGGGGTGTTCTGGAGATCGTCGGGGCGGGAGGCGGGGCGCAACCCAGACACCACGAGGGGGCTGCCGGGACGTCTGGGGCTTCCCTGCCTTCTCCTGTCAGAGAATTCCTAGTGAATTGTCACCTACCCGCCGGTGGCATTCTTCCTGGTTAGAACAGTGGGACCAGTGGGACTTGATGGGAAGAAATTAAGTAAGCCAGTATTCACGGGAAATTTGAGGTCGGGTGGAGACAAAGAGGTGAGAGTTTTTGCCTTTTGTTCCCGCAAGGGAGGCCTGGGCCGGATGCTGGCATGCTCAAGGCTGGGCAGGAGGCAGGGAAGGAGAGTTGCAACCTTGTTTTAAATCTATTGATATTATTACACACGCTGTGCACTCGGCTCCTTTCTTTGTTTATCATCTCTCTCTTTTGTATTGAGGCAAAATACATGTAACATAAAATTTACCATCTTAACCATTGTTAAGAGTACAGATCAGTGGCATTAAGTACATTCATGTTGTGCAACCATCACCCCCATCCGTCTCCAGAACTCTTTCATCTTCCCAAACTGAAACTCTGTCCCCATGAAACAGCTCCTTATCTGCCTCCTGCAGCCCCTGGAAACGACCATCCTACCTTCTGTCTCTGTGAACTTGCCTCCTCTAGGGACCTCACATAAGAGGAATCACACCGCATTTGTCCTTTTGTGACTGGCCTATTTCACTCAGCATACTGTCCTCGAGGTTTGTCCGGCTTGTAGGACGTGTCAGAATTTCCGTCCTTTTTGGGGCTGACTAATATTCCATTGTGTGGCTGTAGCACATTTTGTTTCCTGTTGCATTGTTTTTTGTATGCTTTATTCTTAAATAACATTATTTCCTTTTACTTTTTTCTGTTCCCTCCTCTGCCTGCCCAGCTAGGCTGCACCCGGGAGTCCAGAGTAGGGTTTCGCAACCTTGACACTACTGACATTTGGGACCAGATCGTCCTTGGTGCTGGGGGCTGTCCTATGCATTGTAGGATATGGAACTGCATCCCTGGCCTCTACCCACGAATTGCCATAACATCCACCCTGCAATTATGGGGTCTCCAGACATCACCAGATGTCCCCTGGGGGGCAGAATTGCCCCAAGTTGAGACTCACTGGTCACAGAAATGCTCTCTGTGCTGTCCAGTGTGGCAGCCACTAGCTCCTTGTGGCTGCTGAGCACTTAAGATGTGGCCGGTGTGACCGAGGACTGGAGCGCTAATGTTACTTCATTTCAATGGATATAAACGTCAATGTAAACAGCCGCATGTGGCCGGTGGCCACGGGACTGGCCAGTGCTGTCTCGGTCAGTTAAGGAACTTACTGTCCTTTTCTTAACTTAAGAAAAAAGAAGAGACAGGAGGACAGCTCCCCTAGACTGACATTATATTTTGTTCCACAGTCCAAATTTAATCTTGAAAATAAATTCTGAATCCAAATCTCCATGATTTGGGATATTTTCTTCTGTTTAGGTTATTTGTGCCTTTTTGCCCTTCCCTTGAGAATATTCAGAATCAACACATCTCTCGCGGGTGTCTGAGAGATGCCCGGCCCTGGTGCAGCGGGAGCTGCGGGGAGAGGCCCTGCTGTTAGGAAGCCGCACACAGTCCTGCTGCAGGGCGGGAGACGAAATTCGAGAAAATGAGACAGATTTTCTGTGCTGGGCATGTGAATATCGGGTGGATGTGTAGGAGAGGTGCAAAGAGGAGGAGACCCGAGCAGGTGCGAGGATCCAGAGGAAGGCGCTGACCGGGCCGTGTGCGGGAGGTCACTGCAGGAACGGGGATGCAGTGGGGAGTGACAGGGCGAGGAGGCTCCTGTAATCTCCTTGGAGAATGCCTCCCTCCCTTCCTCGAGACGCTCCTACCCGGCATCGGCTTCCTTGTTGCTACATCAAGACTTTTGTTCCTTTCCTGAGGGATAATGGGAGGTTTTTTTCTTCTTTTCTAGGCACTTCTGAACTTCCTAAGTGTCTTGTTATGAGCATCTATTATTCTTTAACAGTTTTATTGAGATAATTCACACACCATACAATTCACCCACTTAAAGTGTGTACTGCAGTAGTTTGGGTATATTCAGAGAGGTGTGCACCTGTCACCACAGCCAGAAAGAAACCTGGGCCCGTGTGCTAGCACCTTCCCGACCCCACTTCTCCCCCTGCCCACAGCTCTCAGCAGCCACTGCTCTACATTCTGGGTCTTGATCTCTCTGCTCCAGACCTTCGTATTAGTGGAATCATTGAATGTGTGGCCCTGTGTGTGTGGCTTCTTCACTCAGCATAATGTTTTTAAAGTCCATCCTGTTGTCACACGTGTCAGAACTTCACTCTTTTTATTTATTTATTTATTTATTTATTTATTTTTTGAGGAAGATTAGCCCTGAGCTAACTACTGCCAATCCTCCTCTTTTTTGCTGAGGAAGACTGGCCCTGAGCTAACATCCGTGCCCATCTTCCTCTACTTTATATGTGGGACGTCTACCACAGCATGGCTTTTGCCAAGCGGTGCCATGTCTGCACCCGGGATCTGAACCGGTGAACCCCAGGCCGCCAAGAAGCAGAACATGTGAACTTAACCGCTGTGCCATGGGGCCGGCCCCAGAACTTCACTCTTTTTATGGCTGAATAATTTTCTATCGAATGGATAGACTACACCTGTCTACCCACTCATTTCATGCACACTGGGGTTGTTTCTACCTTCTGCTGTTGGGAATAATGCTGCTGTGAAATCTGTGTACGGGTTTTTGCGTCAACGTGTGTTTTTAGTTTCTCTAGGGTAGCCACCCAAGAGTAGAATTTCGAGACGTACGGTGACCCTGTGTTTAGTCATTCGAGGAACTGCCACACTGTTTTCCAAAGCAGCCTCACCATTTCCCATTTGCAATATCTGCTATTATACGACAAGAAAAATAAAGTCAACTGGAGAGAGGGGTAAGGGGACAACATCACGATGCAGAGATCTTACAGCCCGGTTACGCCATCACGGTAACACAGGAGATGGGAGAGGCAGAGGGGCCGGCCAGGGGTGGAGGCCTGCTCCAGCGTGTGCCTGGAGGTGTGAAAGGAAACACGTTAGCACTGGCCGTGTCTGTTTTTTTCCTACTCTCCTGTATTTGCTAAATTTTACCAATTATGACATCTGTTACCTTTATGATCAGAAAAATCGAGAGAGAAGAGAAAGGAGACCAAACCTCCCGTGGTGCAGGGAACTTGTCACCCTGACAAATCGCCGGCCTCCAGCTTTCCGCGTCCTCTTTCTGTGCTGTCCGCGAGCCCTCCCACTCGGGCTCCCCACGCCGCCCTCTAGGGGCTGTCGGGCTAAACTGCAGAGCCGCAGAAGTGCTGTGAGGGAAGGACTGGGTTCCCTTAACCGGGGGCTCCTCAGGGGTAACGTGACCTTGGTCTGGGCCAGCGCCTGCTTCCGGACACACACAGCTGAATCCCTGCCCACACAGAGGCTCGCTCTGTCTCAGAGGTTTCTACAACCAGCCTCAGCATCTCCCTGTTAATAGAAATGGGAAGCGCCCTTGTCCTGGCACTGACCTTCTCCATTTAATCCTGGCAGCCCCCAGTGACCACGGTGCTACTATGATCCCCGTTTTACTGATGAGGAAAACTGAGGAATAGAGAGATGGAGCGGGGTGCCCCAGGTCCGGCGGTGTGTGCCTGAACCCACTTTCACAAGCCGATTGTTAAATTTCGGTTGGTATGTTAGCCTGAAATCAGACAGGATGGGGGCATGTACAGCATAGAAATCGGCAGATGCTACACACTGGAGCTTTTCCTCCCGGGAGAGCCAGCTGTTACACGTTTCTCAGCGCGCCTCTGCCTGGGTCACCCTGCGGGGAGGGGTGCAGCCAGAATTTGGCCCCTGGTCTTCCTGACTCTTGGGTCCATTACACTCTGCTGCTTCATGTGGTCTGGGTTTTAGAAGCCTCACGGCCCCAGCATCTAACCCAGTGGTCCACCAGCTGCACTGCTCAGTGGGATTCCATGTGGGAGTTTGTCAAAATCCTGACACCCAGATGGCACCCCAGACCAGTTCATGCATCCTCGCTGGGGTTGGCACCCAGGCATCGGCATTCTTAAAGCTCCCCAGGAGGGTCCAGTGTGCAGCTGGGCCTGCGCACCAGCGTCTAACCAGAACTTTCCTGCTCCCAGTCAAGGCTGAGGTTTCAGAGGCACCATGCAGCCGGTCAGCACACGCTCAAGAGGGCTGCGGCCAGCGGCTGAGGTTGGTCACCTCCCTGGCGAAGGGACTCTCTGGACATTACTTTTGCTTCCAGGGCCCTTTATGGTCAGTCAGACCTGCCTCCTGGCCTGATGTCCTGAGGACCTTGGCACGGCCCTCTGTTCCGTGAGATGGATGGTCCCAATCACAGCGCCCTGTAGCTGGGTCCTGGGGCGGGACAGCCCGGAGACGGGCCAGCTCTAGCCAGAACCCTGGCAGGCAGTGTCTCCAGTGTGGGTCCGGTTCTGTTCCTGTCCCACTTGCCCTGAAGGGTGGGAGGAAACCACAGGGCCGTGTAGAAGGTGTGGGTCCAGAGCAGGAGTCAGCGGCAGAGGGTGTACCACAGCTCCCGTTGTTTTGCTGGTGGTTGCTTTGCTGTCTTTCTTTTGGGGGATGTGGTTGGAGAATCTATTTTCCTCAGCCCCTGAAAGAGAGAGGCTCCTGCGTCCACCTGAAGCCTGTGAGTCAAATGCAGAAAGCCGAATAACTTCCCTGACTCTCTGTTGACATTGGTGTTTTCTCTCGTGCAGAAGCTCAGTCGCTCATACTTGCCATCAAAGGTTATTTAACATGTGACATGTATGTGTCCGGTGCTTTTCCTATACGCAGGCCCACTAAACTGTCCCCAATCTGAATGAGAAGATGGGCATACAGGTAACTGGGATGCACATTTATAGGCTCATATGGCTGAAACCAGCCGAATCATAGCCCCATGTGTAATAAAAATTAAAGACGGTGAAAGTACCTGCCCGTGGTACCTGTGTGCCTATCATCTTAGACTTCTGCACATTTAATATTGGAAGCAAGCAAGTGACCTGGGGCACATTTTCGTCTCCTTTCTGGCCATGGAGCATGAGATCCATAAAGGCACCTCCAGCAGTGGCTGTCTCACCCCGTTTCAGAGGCGCCGCCTCTCTCCTCCTGCTTCTTTCTCCGGCTCAGCGAGGCCGCTCCGGAACAAATCTGGTGTTTACTTCCTGAACCACAGAATCTAGATGTTGTTCTCCTGGAGCCAGGACGGGCCAACCAGAGTCACGGGGCACAGTGAACCACTCAGGCTGCTCTGGCTGCGGCCCCGTGAGTGACCACACGGCCGCCACGGCCCACCTCCTCTTGGGCTCATGACTCAGCTTCACATGTCGAGCTGGGCACCGTGAGGCACTTCTCTTGAGGAACTTGTACAGAATTGGCCCTGTAATTTTCTTCTACAGTCCTTTCCTCCAAAAGAAAAAATAAACATCCAACCCTCAGTTACAAATTTTAATTAATTCCTGTTTTTCAAGAAAGACTTTGCCTTTTTCCAAGGCAGACATAAGTAGAATGTTGTAACAGATGCTCACGTCATGCATGCCCAACCAAGTCTTAATTATCGCCTCTGAAAGGGGTCTCCCTTTAACATCCCAAGATGCCACCCCACTTATACATGACACCCCAAGTTCATGTTAGCTCAGTTACTAGGGCCAGTGAAAAGATGACAATTTGCATGTCATCTCCACGCCCTGCCTTTGCCTACTCCCGGCAGAAGCTTGAATTGGTGGTGAAAAGGTCAAAAGGGAAGACAGCAGAAAAAGACAGGTCATGAAGCAAATTGTTACAACAAATACCCATGTCCTCATCAGTAAGCTTTTGTTGAGCAATTGCTATGTGCAAGCAACTGTAGATAAAAAAGGATTAAGACCAACCCTTCCCCTTCATGCTTCTGATCTGGCTAAGGATCAAGGTTTATAAGAAAGACCAAGAACCATGTACAGTGGGATATGGATGCCAGAGAAGTGATGCAGTGGACATCGTTGTAGAGGTTTGGAAGGTGGAACCGGAGGGAGACTGTCCGTGATGAATGACCAGCTGGGCAGGGGAGGGGCTGTGGTCCCCCTGTACAGGGTAGTAAATGCCAGCAGAAGCCAGGATAGAAGAACGAGTTACTTGCCATCTGTCAGTTATGCTCCCTCCTTAGCTATTCTGAACACACAGGAAATGGCTACAGGACTAGGGAAAAAAGTCAAATATCTATTTTCAAAGTGTTTAAGGCTACCTGAACACTTACCTTTTTAGTTACTAGAATTCAGAATAAATTCTATAGTAGTAATCCTGCTCCTTGATCTTTTCTTCGTCTGGAGTGTCAGACAAGTCCAAACAGGTACAAGGCAAAATAGAGCTCCCAGAGGTGAGGGGAGCGGTCAGAACAGGTGTAAGAGCATAAGAATTCACATCCAGGGAGCGCTTCCCGCAGCCTGCCCTGCACAAGGGTGTCAGTTCATGCCTGCTTGCGACTGCAGACAAGCCGATCCCCCTGGCGACAGACACTAGTCATTTATTTGTGACGGGGATGCGGTCGGCAGGCTGGATTACGGCTTCACTGAGCTCTGTTTCCGTTAGGGATGCTGCACGGCCAGTGCTGTGCCTGAGATGGTCAGGTTGGATGCACTGAGGCTTTGTCAAGCGGAGCTGCTCGGGGGCAGCCCAAGGCCCCTGCCTGCCTCTCGGGGAATCGCCCATGGCCCTCTGCCAGGCTCTGGGGCTCCGCACTGGGCATTTGTCTTTCGTGACGAGGTGCTGTCAAAGCAGAAGGCACGAGGCTTGCAATGCCCTCCCCAGCCCTCGTTAGGCTCTGTCACTCACCAGAATGCACTTATTTGTCTTTCTCTCCCGCTCGGCTAGCGCCAGGGCCGTCGCCAGTGTGAGCTCTTCAGCAAAGGAAAGGAGCGCTGAGCGAGGAGCTTACGGGACGAGGGGGGAGCAGAACCTCCTCATCCCTGGGGGAGGGAATTAAGAGCAGATTTCTAGTTTTATAAAATTCCAGGTTTCTGCTCTTCATGATGGGAAAACCCAGAATTACAGGTTCCACATCAAAGGGAGGAAATGCCTGTGAATAAATATTTGGTGAAAAATAAAAGAGGAAACAGTCTGCATACGACGTGATCTTTTTTATGTGAATACATATGCATAAAAGAATATTGGAAGGAAATGCATCCAAATATTAGCTGTAGGTAATGAAAACAGGGAATTCTTTTAGTCTGCTCTTTCCTGCATCTTCCAAGTTTTCTCCGTGAGCATGCATTACTTCTATGCTCAGAATGAACAGTCCGTGGTGGATTAGTCAGCTTAGGCTGCTCTAACAAAATACCACTGGCCAGGGGCCTTAAACAACAGCAGTGTATTTCCTCACGGTTCTGGAGGCTGGACGTCCGAGATCAAGGTGTCGGCAGGGCTGGTTCCTCCGGAGGCCTCTGTTCTTGGCTTGCGGACAGCTGTCTTCCCCCTGTGTCTTCATGTGGTCTTTCCTCTGTGTGTGTGTGTGTCCTGATCTCCTCCTCTTATTAAGACACCAGTCCTCTTGGATTAGGACCCAGCCTACTGACCTCATTTTTAAGTTCGTCACCTCTTTAAAGACCCTCTCTCCTAACACAGTCATGCGTCCCTTAATGACTGGCTGAGAAATGCATTGTTAGGCAATGTCGTCATTGTGTGAATGTCATAGAGCACACTTACACAAGCCCAGATGGTACAGCCTACTCCACACCTAGGCTGTATGGTACTCATCTTATGGCACCACCGTCGTGTGTGTGGTTTGTCCTTCTGCGGCACGTGGCCGTACGGTCACATCCTGAGTCCTGGGGGTCAGGGCTTCAACGTAGGAACGGTGGAGGCGACACAGCTCAGCCCACAGCATGTGGTGGTGTTAGAACTAAACATCCACATGCCCGAGTCACATCCAGATGCGGGAGGTGGGCAGGAGAACTCGTAACTGACCCTGAGCCTTTGGTCCCTGCCTCTCCCCAGGAAAGGCCGAGGGGAACGGCAAGATGCACATCACTCTCTGTGACTTCATTGTGCCCTGGGACACCCTGAGCACCACCCAGAAGAAGAGCCTGAATCACAGGTACCAGATGGGCTGTGAATGCAAGGTAAGCCGGGACCACCTCCTTCTGGGCTTCAGCTCATCACCACCGCCTCCAGGTGGATGGCCAGGGTTTGATCTGGGGCTTTCCAGTGTCTCTCAATCCACGGGGTCCTTAGGACAGGGCTCTGAGGAGACGTGGCCTCCCACGAGTGAGGCTGTCTGGTTAGGGACAGAGCCGTTGGGCCCTGGGCCCTGCCGAGCCCTGAGACGCACCTCTGCAGAGGGATACTGGGACGGTAAGGGTATTCTGGCTGTGTGGCCTGTAGCTTCTAGAAGGGAAGCCTTCCAGGAGGAAGAGTTTTGTGGGGAGGACACGTTGGTCCTATGAGTCTTTTTCTACAAATGTATAAGTGCGAGGGACTTGAGCGTCTCACGAAGGCACGTCCCAGGTGTTACACTTCTGCCAACGTTCTGGCCATTTCCATGCACAGGTCCGTGTAAAGGTGGGGTCTGTGTGTTGAGAATGCCTGAAACCCCAGCCCCGCTTCTTACAGGCGGCCCAGAGGTGGTGCCAGGCAGTTACTGAAGCTCTGACATTCAGATGCAGCCTAGAAGCTGCAGTCTTCTCCTCTGCCTGGGCTTGGATCCTGCCATCCTCTCCTGACCCCTCCCTATGGCCCTGGCACAGGAAGCAGTGCTGGGGACCAGGCGCCCCTCGGTGGCACCAGAAGTGCTGCTGGGCCGAGCGTGGCCTTGCGTAGGCTGCAGGGACTGCCTGGTGCTGGTTGGTGCTGCTTGTGCGGCCTTCCTGCCCGTCCTGGTAGAGTGTCGCTAGCCTGTCCCTTAGCTCACTGAGATGCGAATTCCAACCTGCAGCGACACGTACATGTGTAGACGTTCAGCAGACTCCTCCGTGCCCTTGCGAAATGAAAAACAAGTCCTTCCTTTTCCGCTATGTGGCCGTGAAGGTTTTCGCCCTCTTGTAGACTCAGGTTTCCGTGCCAAAATGCTACTTGTTGATCCCCACAAAGCCCACGCGTGCTTGAGAGCAAGACGCCATCCTTTTTATTTGACTTGAACCTATCTCCAGGAAGTTTAAGACCCTTTATGGTTGTTGATATTGTACTCCCAGGAGGGTGGGGCTATGCTGAAGTCATTTTGTCGCGCTCAGATGGCGCACAGCAGAGGCTCCCCTGCAGTAGCTGGGGACGCAGAGGTCGTGTGCACAGGCCTCCCCCAGACCCCGCTGCCACCTGCTGCCGTTTGGAGAGTGTGGAAGTCGGGAAAGGCTACTGATGGCGCCGGTTCCACTGAGTCCCAGTTTCCTCCCGCCCTCCCGCCCTCCCTCCCTGCCACACTTCTTTAGTCATTTATTCAACAAACCGTCCTTGAACACCTTTGCCAGGCACATTGCGAGGTTCTGGAGATGACCCCTGAGTGGCTGCGGTCTCTGACTGCGTTCACCTCCGTGTCCCTCTTCTAGATCACGCGCTGCCCCATGATCCCATGCTACATCTCCTCTCCGGACGAGTGCCTCTGGATGGACTGGGTCACAGAGAAGAACATCAACGGGCACCAGGCCAAGTTCTTCGCCTGCATCAAGAGAAGCGACGGCTCCTGTGCGTGGTACCGCGGAGCGGCACCCCCTAAGCAGGAGTTTCTCGATATTGAGGACCCGTAAGGAGGCCAACAGCACCCCTGTGGCCAACTGAAATGCCTCCAAGAGTTTAGACTGGTCCAGCTCTGACATCCCTTCCTGGAAACAGCATGAATAAAACAGTCATCCAAGTGGGTCTAAATTAGTGTGATTCTCCTCCCCGCCCCCATTTTCCTTTTAAAGAGGGTTGTGGGTCTAAATAGGGAGGTGGGTCCCACATTCCATCCTCCAGCCTGGGCACTGTGCATCTCAGTCTTCAAATCTGGGGTGTGGGCGGGGGGGGACACACAGGCTTCCCTCCCAGGCCCAGCCTTGGCACTGTCACAAACGCTGAGGAGACAGCACTTAGGGGTCCCCCCGGCCTGGTCAGAGCAGAGCCTGGAAATGTGCATTTTGCAGAAACTTTTGAGGGTCGTTGCAAGACTGTGTAGCAGGCCTACCAGGTCCCTTTCCTCTTGAGAGGGGCATGTCCCTCGTTTCCTGCAGCTTCCACACCTCTGGCCCCTAGAGGAGCAGTCCCTGTCCTGGCAAGTGCACCCCCACCTCATCCCCCTCGGGCCCACCATGGACTCCCCACACCTGTGACTCCTGTAAGTCCAGGGGCAGCCCTGGACCAGTGGCTTGTTCTTGAAGGAGCCCCAATTACTTGTATTCATTTGCAGAATTCCGGTGGGAGCCTCCCTCTGGGGCCCGTGCCGAGATGTGGGAGTGACAAACTTCAGCTTCCGCCAAGTCATTCTGGTCCCATCCACCCACCCCAGCCCCACCCCACCCCCAGCCCTTGGGGGGAATCCATGACATTCTGCCCTGAGGGCAGACGTGGTGGGGAGCACTTGGCTGCCCCTATAGTTTATTCTTGAGCTTCTGAAGTCACTCTAGCTTCCTCCTCCTCATTCTGGCATCCGGCATCTAGATGGAGTTGTGCGGGTTGGCTTTGCAAGGGGTTGCGTGTGGCAGTGGCACAGGCTGTGCTCTCTGTTTGTACATCCTGAGGACATCAAAAGCTGGGTCCCGCTGTGTCCCCCAACACACCCCAGAGCCCCACCTGAGCAGGTGCCACAGGTTCAGTATGACCTCCCTCCAGGACTGAAAGTCACTGTGCTGTCCCTGGATTTCTGTGAGTGAGGTTAGCCAAGTGCATTATGAAGTCCTACCTAGGAAAGGACGAATTTGGGAGGTAGGTGGCTTCAGTGAAACTCTCATTTCTTTCTGGGCCTCTAGTACTCTGGCCAGCTTTGAGAGACATCTCATTTTTCTCAAGATGAATTCTCCCCAAGTTGCAGGTGTACCAGCCTCTGCTTCTATTTTCTTACATTGCAAAGATCTCTCAGTTAATAAACTTCATAGGGAATCTTTTCCCTAAAAATGGTTTTCTGGTGCCAGTAAAATAGGGGTTACTGTAGGCAGAAATTTCTCAGTAAGAGTAAAGATAATCTCCTTTTTCTTCCTGCTTGTGTTATAAACTATTCTATCATGCACGTTATGCAGACACACATATATGTACATGTGCGCACACACACACGCATAATGAAACTGAAGTCTGTCAGCCGGCAAGTGGTCCTTCTGCAAAATGCTTCTGAAGTCACCTTCTAAGCCTGCTCTATTCTTCGGTCACCCCAAAGCACCTGTAAGACTCCTGACCCCTGGCACGCAGCCCCATGCCCGCCCGGGACCTGGTCAGCATAGATTTTGATGACTTCCCTTTCGAGGGCAGACTAGGAGAATATCCAGGAAGCGGTCCCCGCTCCAAGGGCACTTTCATGCTGTACAGTGTTATAAAGCTTGTGAGATGTCATAATGGACCAGTCCATGTGATCAGTATATACAAGAGCACCAGACCCCTCCGATCAATAGAACACCCCACCCCCATTTGCTTCCTGTATGGTGTTATCATATGTAACATTTACTCCTGTTTCTGCTGATTTTTTAAGTGTCTTGGTTTGTTTCTGCCATTGGTTGTAATCATTCCTGTGCTGTGTTTTTTATTACCCTTGGTAGGTGTTAGACTTGCATTTTTTTAAGGTTTCTGCATTGTGGAAGCATTTGACCCAGAGTGGAGAGCATGGCGGGTAGCTAGCCTATGACAGTGGATTCCTACAGATCTTTTCTTCAGTTCTTTGAATATTGTTGCTTTTCCATCTCCCATCTTTTGTTCTCTGGTTTGAATTATTACAAAGTCAAGGATCTGTGAGTAGGTTGGTTCTAAAAGATGGCCTTTATGTTCAGTCCATGCACATTGGTCTTGAAGCCATGCTGAGGAGAAAAAAAACGAAAAAATCAAGATGGCATACCCAGTGGCAGCTGAAAGGAGCAGCCACTCAAATACCTTCACAGTAAATAATTGCAATATATGTATAGTTTAAGAAGGCTCTCCATTTGGCATTGTTTAATTTATATGTTATATTCTAAGCACTACTCTTTCCCTCTCTTCTTCATGCAAGCTACTCAAAATATTTAAAATAAAGTTTACATTGTAGTTATTTTCAAATCTTTGCTTGATAAGTATTAAGAAATATCAGACTTGCTGCCATAATTTAAAGCTTTGTTGATTTTGTTTGTTTTTGTTTGGATTCTCTCTTGTTTTTTTAATTTCCGGGCAATGTGTTTTTGCTGGAATATGAAGTCTGAGACCTCCCTGTGCTGGGAACACGTGAGAGTTGTTGAAAGTCGACAAGCAGACTGCGCATGTCTCCAGTGTTTTGTATCATTCCTGAGTGATCGCTCGGTCAGTGGACAATAAACAATATTATCAAAGAGAACTCTGGCTCTCCGTGTGGTTGTACCCGAGGCTCAGAGCTGCCGATTTCTAGCTGAAGGTGGGCGGGGGGGGACTCTTCAGAACAGAGCCTGGCTGATTGAGGCCCATGAGGGATGTGGCAGAGACTGGGGCGGACAGCAATGAACGTGGTTTTGGTAAACTGGCGAAGAGGCAGGAGCGCTCGACAGGGGCCCCTTCGTTCGTTCAGCACAAACGTCTCAGTTTCTGTTACGAAGTGGTTCCGACACACACACGCAGAGAAAAACGGAGCCTGCACCCATCTTGCATCTTCCACAGTGAGCAGTTCATGGCCTGTCTCCCTTCTCCGCCCACAGCCACCCTGCCAGAGACTATCGGGAAGGGAAATTCCAGACATTAAACAGTTTCATCTGTGAATGTTTCAGTAGAAATCTCTAAAAAATAAGAACTATTTGAAAAACATTTTCAAAATGCTTTTATCACACCTTAAAAGCTTAATGAGGGTGGGCCCCATGGCCTAGTGGTTAAAGTTCATGCGCTCTACTTTGGCGGCCCGGGTTTAAGGTTTGGATCCCTGGCACAGACCTGCTCTGCTCATCAGCCATGCTGTGCAAGCATCCCACATACAAAATAGAGGAGGCTTGGCACAGATGTTAGCTCAGGGCTGATCTTCCACCAAGCAAAAGAAGAAAAAGGAAGATTGGCAACGAATGTTAGCCCAGGGAGAATCTTCCTCACCAAAGGAGAAAAAAAAAGCTTAATTAGAATCCATTAATGTCATTGACTAGTCACTGTCAAGGCATCTCTGGGGCTCTCATAAATGCTTTTTTATGGTTTATTTTTTAATCAGGATCCAAATAAAGTCCATACATTGCACTTGCTCCCTCAAGTCTCTTACTCTAAAATTCCCCTGACCTTTCCCTCCCTCCTTTCCTCCCCCTCCTTCCCTCCTCTCCCCTTCCTCTTCTCTTAGGCTGATAAGATAATAATTTAAACTTTATAATAATTTAATTTAAATTATTATAATTTAAGATAATCATAACTTAAACCAATCTCATAGTACTTGAAGTCACCATATGAAATTTTTTTTTTGAGGAAGATTAGCCCTGAGCTAACTACTGCCAATCCTCCTGTTTGCTGAGGAAGCCTGGCCCTGAGCTAACATCCGTGCCCATCTTCCTATACTTTATAGGTGGGACGCCTACCACAGCATGGCTTTTGCCAAGCGGTGCCATGTCTGCACTTAGGATCTGAACCGGTGAACCCTGGGCCACCAAGAAGCAGAACGTGTGAACTTAATTGCTGTGCCACCAGGCCGGCCCCTGAAAATTCTTTAATGGCATATTTGAACCCGTGCCCGACCTCTGCCCGCAGGTAGAATTTGTTATTCCGGGGACGAGCCGGAAGATTTGTATTTCCCATTTTGTGTGGCCGCTCCTACCCAGCCAGAACAAACCTACTGATGCCTTTTGAAGCACTGAGAAGGGGGTGGGACAAAGTTTGCACCGACGGCTGCAATGACAAAGCATTGAATGCCATCCCTTTAATATCCCCTACTGCAGAAATATTTGGGTTACTTTTTCCATATGGTGCAATCTACGGGGAAGATGGTTCTGAGGCATATAGAGTAAGATATGAAAGCTTCCTGTGTCACCCAGAGGACCTGACTTGGCATTGATGCTGGCAACAGTTGGGGTTTTAACAAACAACACACCACACAATTGCTACCCATTTCATTTATTTTATGTATTTAGGTCAAGTGTAACTCTTTAAAAACCCTTCTCAGTATGGAAATTTTCATACACAAAAATGCAGAGAATGATAACAAGCTCCATGCACCCATGATCCCGTTTCAACAATTATCCAGGTTTCCTTGATCTTTGCAGACAGTTTTAAGTCAGTTTGAAGACTCACATTTGGGGTAACCAGATTGTTAGGGATACTACCAGCCACCATGGTTCCCCCCGGCTTGCTCATTCAGTGAAAAGAAAGAGAACAAGGACAACTGAGGGCAGCCACACGTGGGTTCAAAAGGGAAATGCAGCCACAGACACTGCAGGAGCCAACTGGAAGAGACCACCGGCCGGGGGTGGAAGAGTTGCCGGGACTGGTTAAATATTTGAGAAGTTTGAATGGCACCTAATTATTAATGGATATGTGTGCCCGACCTAACATAAGAAAAATCAAAACAGTGGAGCCACAGATATTTTCCCAGGATGCATTTTCTTATGGATTATAGTAAACAGCAATTTGCTGTTACCATGGGTTTTGCATGAAGACTGAAGTTCATGAACGGCTCTGTCTCCATCCGAGGTTCCAGGTGACCCACAGCTCACCTTGTCACACACGCTTGCCTCGAATCATCTTGCACTGAAAGGCGGTGCTTTGATTTGGGGAAATCATTTAGCTCTCAGCAGATTTTTCTCCTCCAAGAAACAAATTGATTGTGAAAAAAAAAAAAGACATTCAGAAACATGAGATAATTCTGCACATTTTCCTTCCACAACAACGGGGAGGAATGTTCCTTTCCAACTGAAGGAAACAAAAGCAGGAGACAGATGCCGTGGGAGTCTGCAGAACGGCGGGGTGTCAGGTGGGGGTCAGAATCAGAGAAGGGGTGAGTGTCAAGGCAGATCGGAGGCTGGGATCCAGGATGGCGTGCAGAGGCAACGCTGCATACATCAGCTAGAAATCAAGAAAGCCGAAAGTTTGTTTCATTTTTAGGCCAATCAACCTGTCCTGCTTTGCCCCTTCAAGCGAAGCCGGGGCTGGGGGAGGGGGACCAGGAGCAGGATTCCACCCAGGGAAGCCCAGTAGAGTCTCAGCCCCCCGGGGTTTTCACTGGGTGCAGGTCATGCAAGCGCCTCTGCCTAGTACACAGCACGATTCCAGACTCCCAGAAGGAAAGCAGGCGTTCAGCATCAACAAACAGTCAAGGCACACGAGCCATTCTTATCAGGGAATAGGGGACCCTCCCGAAATCCAAGTTCCCAGACACCAACCTCATTAGTGGCCTTCCCAAGGAGAGCGGTCTGGGCCTGCTGTGCTCACTCTGTCGCGGACAAGTCCTGTCCGTTTCCTTTTCATGATCTTCCCCCCCGGCTCAGGACACCCGGCTCCTAAACCCGCATGGGCAACGGCTTAGGAAATCACTCCAATAAACCTAATAATTCCAGGCATAGCTAACATTTACCCCCGCCCGGACTTGTGCTAAGGGCTGCACATACATGATTCCATTTGATGCTCACGTTGTCTCAGAAGCCAGGCCTCTCACCTTCCCGTTTGACGGATGAGGTAACTGAGGTAAGGGAGGTTGCATTGCCGCGCCCCAGCCAGCACGCACTGGAGCTGGGATTCGAACCCCGGCGGAGGCAGACCCCGGGGCCCAGCTCTGCACCAGCGCACATTCCTGCCCTCCGTCCTCAGCACCTCTGAGGACCACGGGGCTGTACAAACATGTGGCTCAGGTGCACGCAGGCCGCCCTCCTGCAGGTTGTCTCCCACGCAGCGGCAGGTGGGGGCGCCTGTCTCACACTCGCATCCAGAGCCTTGTAGAGGTTTGTTTCTGTTTTATGTGTGTGTTTGTTTTCAGAACAAAGGCAAATCCATCTCCCTTCTCATGAGATTTAAAGCAAAAGTAACAACAAAATCCTAGTTTGTGTTAAGATACCTGTCACGCCAAGATACCCTGTTACAAGCTGTCATTTCTAAGGGTAAAGTCAGTTATCTGGAAGATTCATCTCTATATAATTATCTTCCACACTGGGACACTCTTGAGAGAGAAAGGGGGTGCTATTAACAATTAGTGAGACCAACAGGGGCAAACCAGGACTGTTGTGAACAAACCGGATGTAGTGTCTCTGTGAGACCCTGTCGTTGTGGGACACCTTCCCCAACCACACTAGGTATATCAGATCCCCCACTGCTGTTGTCCCAGGTGCTCGGGCTCATCATCGGACGTGGCACCCCTACAACCCCGAGGCCCCAAAGTGTCATCCTGCCCTCCTGTGATCTGGGAGCAAAGATGTACCAGCTAAGGTAGCACTGGATGGTGTAGCAAGTAAACCCAACCTCTCGGGTGCTAACGCAAACCGAGTTTATTTCTTGCCAAGACCACGGGGACGTTTGGTGGGTGACGTCCCACAGGTGATTCAAGGACCCTGGGTCTTTCCCTCTGTGTCCCCACTGCCTTCTGGAGCCTCAGAGTCCTTTGTTTCCAGCCAGAAAGAGGAGGGAAGGAGGCACGGCAGATTCTCAGCCTCTTCGCCTTGGGAGTATCACCTCTCCCCTCCCATCCCAGGCACTGGAGGGACTGAATCACCATTCAACGCTCCACAGGCTGCTTCTGGCATGGCCCCCTCGACCCCTACCCACCTCACTCCCAGGCAGGCCCAGACACGGCAAGGAGGAGAAGTCTAACTGGGCCAGCCACGTGTCCCACCCTGGGCAGCAGTGGAGGGCGGTGGGTCCAAAAGCAAAGCAGTGCTGGGACTTAAAAGACAGGGTCTTGAACGCTCTTGAAAAGTCTCTATAATCTAGTCCTGAGGCCAAACATAGACACATGCGATGCTTTGAAAAGAGCAGAAACAGAGCAGTGCAAGGTAACACTGTGTCACAAAGAAGAACCAGAGGGACCCAAGAGGAAGGGAACAAAACCAAATGGAACCCAGCGGCACAACTAAAATGCAAAAGAATCAAGTGAGAGGCCCTGTGGGAGAACTGTGGGGGAGGCGTTCTGAGGACCACAGGGAAGCGGCCGGCCTCTGTAAAGAGTCCAGCGATTTCAGGGTCAGCAGTTGGGGGTAGCTCTTCCTGAACACACAAGGAAAACACACTCCCGTGGCAGTTATGTTGGGTTAGTTTTGTGAGAGAGAAAACCTCGCCTGGGAGCGGAAGGAGGAGGCAGGCGAGTGACCATGGCCAGCCCAGGCATTTAAGGCCTGTTGGCTACTTTTTGGCCAAGCCACCAAACACATCCGTGAGAAAGTAAGATCCTCGTGGTGCAGCTCCCCTGCGGTCATC